GCAGTAGAGTTCCTTGTGAAAGCAAGCAATTACTGCGTTCCGGTCTTGAAGGGTGCTGGTGAAATTACAGGCACATAGGTGACGAGTGCAGTGGCAGTGCCCCTCAGATCTTTAAGACTTAAGCTTCGAGTGGCACCTGCAATTGGTATGGACAGAGCTGTCACTCAAACACCAGGCGCACGACAGGTTAAGGTAGGCGGAAAATGTTATCAATAATGTTAGATATTTTCCTTCCTCATATCACAGAGAACATTTAAACATTTTGCAATGAAAATCTTGGCAAAACAACGGGTATATTATACAAGTAGGTATTACAAACAAATGCTTTTTTTATCGCGATTCAATAAATAAGCTGCATACTAACTGTAACTTCCTATGTATAGAAAGTCATAAAAATGTCTTACGTTTAGATTACGTTAGAAACAACGACTTTGGTATGTATGTACAAAATTGGATAGAGAAGTCACATTATAGTTGCAGTAGAGCTCCACGTGAAGGAGATTGTCCAGGGAAGTACTGCTACCCCTATTTCTGCCGCTGAGCGGTAAAGTGAACATTACTCCGGTTATCAAGGGTAAGGGTGATGTTAATGAAATCCCAAACAAGTCCCCTGTGCCTGTAGCACATGGGTCTTGTCAACTCATGGGCGCAGTGGTGTCGTCCACTAACGAAAAAGCGGTTAAGTGACAAATGGTCAAATAGCCGTTTTAAATAACATATAATCTCAGTACAGAGTACTAAAAAACCGACCTCAAAAGTACGTGGAATTACGTCTGCTAAGTTTCAATGAAATATCCCCTAGTTCGCCACTATAAAGGACTTGATACTGGAGATAATAAAAATAGGTTCTCACTACGACACTACTCAAAGTATATCGAGAGAAAAACGCCTAGAATTGGATAAATAATAAAATCAACTAAGTAATTGCTCCTAAATTAAAGTTAGGCGCTATTTATAAAAATGAATCTCCATGCGTGAACAGCCACCCTTTGAGGTGGATGATTTTCTTCAGAATGAAATGGCACCACTATGGAAATACCCCCTTTCCAACAAAAAAAGAATCATGAAAATCGGTTCACAAATACCGGAGTTATCGCGTAACATACATACAAAAAAAAAGAAAAAAAAACAAAAAAAAAAGAACATACAGTAGAATTGAGAACCTCCTCCTTTTTTGAAGTCAGTTAAAAAATTAGTTAACGAGTTCGACTTATCGGAACTTACCCTAACGTCGCATAGCTGGAATACCATTAAGCAATTCTAAAAGTGGGTTATGGTTTTTATTCTTCTTTGCTATTTTAAAGTTCTGCGTGACACTGCAACTGTTATGGATAGTAGTTACTATGGACAGGTGTGTTATTACGACTTGCTCGTCCCGTCACTTGGTAACATAAAAAAAAAACTTCCTCAATGGCTCAACGGTTTGAGCCGGTTGCTGGATGAGGAGGTCCCGGGTTCGATTCCCGGTAAGACCAATTTTGCAACAAACTTTTCTGAATGGGTTCTGGTCTGAGTGTCGCACAGAGTACTCCCTAGTTTGAGACCAGGTAGGTAGTCGTCAGGCGTATTATTGAACAAAAAAACTGTTTTTTCAGATCTGGATCGCGTATATTTGTTTTTACAAATAAACTAACGTTAATGACTACCGTTTCAACCAGCCGTGAGAATGGGATCTGTAAAGGGACCTAAACGTTGGTTTGTTTTAAAAAACAATTATACGCGACTTAGATGCGAAAAAATAGTTTTATTTCCTATTATTATGTTATTTAATAATTATGATATTTTGAAAATAAAAATTAATAATATAAATTTTACTCATGCGTGTAAATACACTCAAGATTTCGTTTACTCTTTAAACACTTTGTCCACCACGCAGACTTATATCGCCCCATCCATTAGAAATGTACATAAATCACAATTTCGAGGAAAATATTTACATAGTTCGATACAGAATTTAAAGCCGTATATTACCTAAACTTCAAGTATAGACATAGAGTGAATAAATAACTCCTTCTGAAATCCCAGAATCTCTACTTATGACTTAGAATGTAAGTTACGTCTATTAGAGTTGTCAGACACGATATATGATTTATGTGCGTAAATAATTTTGAAAATAACCCGCGGTGAACGGACGGACTTACAAAAATCTTTGCAAAAAATGTGAAAATCACTAACAATTAAATTAATATACAATAATTACGACTTTTTATGAAAAGAAATCGACGACAAATGTTGGTGGAATCACATCTATTTGCCAAGTTTATTTCCAATCGGTTAACGGAAAGTGGACGAAATCCAACAAACCGGATTCATCCCCTAATTTGTCACCCTTAGATGTAGAATATTTTTTTTTTGTCAAATTTGAATGGGAGCACTACTGAGGCACCCCCTTTCTAACAATAAGAGTCATCGGAATCGGTTTACAAATATCGGAGTAATGGCGGAACATACACACAAAAAAAATACAATCGAAAAGAGAAACTTTTTTTTAAATCAGTTAAAAACAGCAACACCATGCATATTAATTTTTCCATAGAAGGAGCAATGCCTATAATAGTATGAATAACATTTAAAAGCTTTTCAAATGTAAACAGTTGTTTTAAATAAAAAAACCAAACTTTTAATTCGTTTTGCGTATTTTTTTACAAATTGTAAGTTAAGTCTCTGCTTTACCGTCGGTGCTTTATAATATAAGACTTTATTCAGGTGTATAATTAGTTATATATTTCGCAAATAATGTCCACAAACCGATGTGATGAACTTGAAACAAAGTCAACATTCCTGCATCTATCTGAAGTGTATCCACCTATAGCTAATGTAGAGCGAATTTATTTCTGTATCGTACTAAAATATTGCGAAAGTGCTTTATATAATAAGTGGGTTACATCAAGCGGAGTATTTACCTAGATATTAGTTGATAGATACATTACAGTGCACACGTTGTTTATCTATGTTTTATCGCACTAAAACTGGCCACATGGCCCTGTTATCACATAGGTATCTATTATTCGTTAGCTTATTGATTTTGACGTAATTTACACACGATTTTTGCTGCCGGGTGACTTTGCCAGTTACAATGGACATTGATGTTTTCCTTAGTGCAATAGCTGGCGTATAAATGATAACCTTTGGAATTGTAATAGGTCCGAGTAGTCTGGAGATAAAATCGGCAGTGTCTCGTCTGGTATTATTATTTTTATGATATGATATTGCAGTGCCACTCAGAGCTTTAAATGGCAAAGATCTGAGGGGCACTGCCATTGCGCCGGTCACCCTGAGACAGTTGACAAGTTCCATGTGCCTGTAACTTCACAAAGAACTCTACGCTACTATTATTATTACAACAAAGCTTTATTGCCAGCCCACCTGCCTTTAACGTGGCGATTGGTGCACCCGTCCCCTTTGCTTTTTTTTTCTACAAAAGCTTTGTCTAGGTGCGAAATATGACAGAAGCATATGTACGCATGCCTTTTTTAGTATTATACTCGTATGTAGGCAACCGGTTTAATAAAAATTACGGAGCAAGGTAAACATTTGCTATGACACTTTATTTTAAATAAGTTGTTATCGGTGAAATTAGTAATTAAATGCTTATGAAAAATCATAAACTTACGGCGTAGATTGTTATTAAGTGGAATCTATAGTCATTATAATATTAAAAAAAAACACTGTTACGTTTTTGAGAATTAATTGGAGAATTTACGTTGATTAATTGCTAATATTTTTTGTAAAAAACACATTTATCACTCTAGAGGTGGTAGGAATGTTTCTAATTATTATGTCTACATTTATTGCATTAGTTTTAGTTAGACAGGCAGGTTTTTGCGTAAATTAAACCATTTGATTTGCAGTTTACGTTACAGATGGAAGGCAAGATTTTTTTATCAACAAAGTTATGGATAACTTCTTAAAATCAAATGGTATTAACAGAGATCATAATAGACAGTACGACTTCTTAGATTTACGCGATTATCACACATAGGAAATGAAACTACGTTTTCAGTCAGCCGTGGGTCTTGTAAAGGGCCCGAAACATTTGGTTTATTTGAAAAAAAAAATCGCTATTTAGATCGATAAACAGTTTATTTTTTTATAATACCAAATCATTAATTTGTAAGTATTTAATTACTAGGTTTTTTTCTTTTTACTAGTAATAAACGTTGGTGGATGATACCTCCTTGAAATCAGGGAATAATGGTATTATTATATTGTGTTCTATATTTTTTTACGTATAGCTGTCAATTATTTTTCTACGATAGCGTATTTATTTATTTAGAAGATTTTTGTGACGAAAAAAGAAAATAAACCATATTTTATTTTGTTTTTTGCCTTTAATTTTCAATCATTCCAGATTTCAACGAGAGGTGTTGTCTACTCTATGTGTATTATTTGAAATATACGTAACTATACCTGTCTATTTCGCCATGTGATTATTTATTAACCACATACACTTAGCACTACCACTATCCTTACTATTTGACTGGTAATAGACTTGGTGTAATATTTAACTGAGATTTAAATATATGAATAACTAACTACGTAAGAGGTTAATTAGTGTATGTCGGTGAAGAATTTTTGCGTTTTTTTGTATCGAGCACCAGTGGGGGCCGTGCAGACGGACTGGGTGTGTTAGGCTTAAGCCATCGTTCGGTTTGCGGCCCATGCCTTACCCTGGTTACAAGGGTTTATTTTAGACCTTGGCCAAAGAGCAACCACCAACTTAATAAGCTTATTTGCACTTACATAAGCGTTTCCGACGTTCAGCCGACAATCACAACACCGCACTGCTGTTTATGTAACCTCCAAACTCTTTCACACCAGCTTAACGCTGCACCAGATATTTTGCGCAGTTATACGCACTAGAAACTCCGATTTCTGACGACGAGATGGGAAAAGTAACAGGAAGTTGAATGACACTCTCCAATCACAAAAACCACTTCAGGCTCTTCCCTAACACTAAACTAAGGCAATGACACCAATTAAAGTGTTTTGTTTCTTACCTTTTAGCAGAAAACAGACGTGGAAGCTCCCAACGGGACTTAGAACGCACGAACACGCAACTTGCACTAGTGAATATCACAATTTTTTACAAAACCTAATTGTTTTACACCACTATCTACGTTTATACAGGTAACACAAGACGTTTTACGATACCCTGACACGTTTAGAGTTTTCGAAAAGTCCATTGAACTGTTTAGGTTGAAATTTACGTCGAGCGAAATTATAAGTACGGAATGGCAACGCTGTATAGTCGACATGAGTTTGCATAGCGCGGCCGCTAGGCGGCGGTGCAGTCGGAGGGGGGCGGGGCCGAGCGGGACGCGGCGGGTACGCGAGAGGGACGGAGCGGTACACACACTACCAGCGAGCGAACGGACACCGACGGCGAAGCCACGTTGCACAGAATAATTCTCTATGGTGTGCTTATGGGATTCCTATTTCGAAACCACGATTGTTTAGATCGCGAAGACATTAGCGCATGATGGCGAGCTATGTGGCGACTGGTGACCTTTTCGACGTATCGCGTCACCGCGGGTGGCGATAACGCGAGGTCGTCGGTCGAGCGTGCGACGTTGCCAGCTCGCTCCGGCATCCGACGGAGTTTGAGCCCACCACGTTTCGGATTACGAAAGTGCGGCAAAATCCCCGCGGCCTTTTGATACCGTACCTGCACTGCCTAGCCTAATGAACCTAGCCCTAGACATAGACACATAACGTGATCATGTGAGGTGAGCCAAGCCCAGCACTTACATTCCTGCTAAACTTTTGTAAATATTATTGACAACACTGAGACAGGAAAGTGATTAGAGGTCGGTTTAGTGTAATATGTACAAAAGTACCTAGCTATTTACTAGGTATTATAATATTCTTTACGATCAGATTTGGTAAATAGGTAGAATACTTTCTAATAACAAAGTATTAAAGATCAATTCATATCAAATTGAACTCTTCCCTACCCAATTCTTCAATTGTAATTACAACTTCTTATCTACACATTAAATCGGTACCTACTCATTAATCAATTTCAGGAACTCTCGAAGTTTGTATTTTTAGTATGTGCGTAACTGTACTCGTCATTTTACCTCACAAGAAATCAGGTCATAGAAAATAAACTATTAAAACGCTAAAGCGTTGTAACTCTGAGTGGCACTGCAAATGTTATGGACAGGCGTGTAGCTTCCCATCAGGCGCACGACTTGTTCGTCCCGTCACATGATATTATAAAAAAAAAACTTACAATTTTATAATATTTTTTTCATACCATACCCTGCGTCGATCAACAGAGATTTTTTGACACATATTCTAATTCATATCATTAGAGCACAGATACTATTAATATTAATACTATTCATGTGTCTGCAATTTCTTTCAAAACTTGGCTAGAATCCAGAATGTTTTGTGTTTAGTATAACATTAATTACATCGTTTGTTTACTCCTCAGTAAGCATGTTTGTTGTTTCGGATCATCTTTTTGTTTAGATAAACAAAAACATTATTCCTAACGTATATAAAACTGAAATAAGAATAGCTAGAGCACCCAGACACGGTATACCGTCCATTGTTTTGAAATATTGTCATGTTATTTCCGTCATTATGTTAGTCAAACAGATTAGATGTTTATTGTCGTCACATTCATTCCATTTCTGTTGAATAGTGATTAGAAATACAATTTTTCCTCACTTGAGTTACCTACTGTATGCTTACACGCAACACAATCCATAAATTATGTAAGTGGGTGCATATACACAATCAATAATGTTACTTGTCAATGGGAATAAAAATAGATCTTACTGAAGTGTCATGGGAAATTAAATTGAAAGCGGATGGCACAGAAGCAAACGGGTAAATTGACTTGTTAAATAAATGTGTCGACTAAACCGGCAACAGGAGCCCGTGTATCGTTGTAACGGTAAATTGACTTGGATTGGAGGGCTTCTGGGACTCGCAGTAATTACTGGTTGCGATCGGGCAGGACTTCTGCGAAGGTCGTAGCACCACCCACGCTTTCGACGATCCCCACACCGCATCCCACTATTCCCTCCCTCCACCCAACGGGAGACTTTCGGAAGTAGGTATACTTCTAGAACAGGGTGAATATTCTCGTTTGGAATTTGCGCAACTTTTTGGTCGAAACGGTTTTAAAAGTCTCGTGCAGTTTCGGTTATGAAAATATTATTTATAAACCAATTTATTAAGTGAAACATGTAGTTTCTGAAGCAGTAAGCGTGAAATTAGTTACATGACTATTGAAAAACATACTTTATATAGTTTAATGGCTTTCGTTCCTACCTCATTTGTGATTCAAATATTACCTCATTTATATGCAGTAATATCGTATTGTTATTATTTTGAGTGTTGAAATTTTATACGGACAATTTTTTTTTTATTCCCATCTTACACGAAGGAGCTATGAAAAGGGAAAGATCTCGAAGCAGTCCTTGAATTTTAACTTGATAAAAGTTTCCTTTGTAATGCTCTGTAACTTGTTCTTACAAAAAGTTTTTCTTGGCACGACTTTCTGTTCTGCCGTTGGAGCGGAAAATGTCTGCAAAAACTAGAATATTTTCCGGCTGAAAATTATATCTAGACTAGCTAAGTGCAGATTAGTACTTTTTGTTTACCTACTGCAATTTGACTTAAGATTTTATTTGTAAGTCAATGCTAAGATACTTAAAAAGGATGCGAGTTTTTTTTATTTGAGTCGCTTTCTGCACATTGTTGTGTAAAAAAGTTGTGAAAATTTATATTCTGCGTTGCTTATTTTACCATTACATTGGGAACTTTGCGAATAGCCGTATCAGAAAAAGATACAACTTTGTTGAAGCTGCCTATTCGACTTCATGGTAATGTCTTTACGTATTCAATGTAATGGGTTACATTACATTGAATCTGCTTTAGGAAAGATATATAAGTATCGATTTTGCTTGTCTCGAAGGGTAAAGAGGTCATTGGCGAAATATCAACATACAATCTAAAGTTAACCAGTTCTTCGCCGTTCTAAGTGAATGTTGCAATATAGACCTTAACAATTTATATGGAAGGACTCGAGATCGTTCCGAGAATCATTAAAATCTCGTAAAGGAAACTTGCCATTACTTCATGATTGCAGGTTGAGTGAGTGAATTGCCGAATTTGTGCCTGCCGGGGCAGCTATTTTATATTGAATTCATGTATTACTGCCGATTTGGAAATTTGAAGGAAGCGGTCTTTTGTGCCGCATTTGGAATATCGAATTCAAATTCAAAGTTTATCAGTCCTTAATTTCATATGTAAACCTAAGAACAATAATTTATGACTTATTGTTCTTAGATGTAAGCAAATTACATTTAAAATTGTCATATTGATTAAAAACTATTCATTGGTCAGGTTCCCTTGTAGAATAATTAGGAAACGCTAGGGTTGTTGTAAATAAAAATTTGTTGTTCGTATATTTGTTATTTGCAAAATTTATTTTAGATGTCGTAGATGAAAAACAACATGAAAAAGGTAAAAGGGTCTCTACCATGGAATTTCGTCATCCAAGTATGCAGAAGATGTATAATAAACCCGTGTATCGTTTTTACTTCACTATAGTTTTAAACTACGTAAATGACAAATTTTGAATAAACAATTAACCGGAATCTTATTATAGAAGCGTATACATTGCCCTTTAAATGAATTTTTTTAAATGACTTGTAGTATTTAGAATTTATATGTATATACAATGTCGACTTAACTTAGATTATGATTTGTAAATTTTTTTAACAAGGATTAACAGGATACATAAGAACAATTTACGTTATTTTGCTTTAATAAGAATTGTAGTTGACCATAAGGTTTAATTCTGTAAATTGCGCATTCGACTTAAAATACGAGAGCATTCAGAATGCAAAAGTGTGTAGGTGTATTTGCCATGAGCTCGGTTCGCGCGGTACTGGGTCTAAGGTTCTCGGAGAGCGCCGCGAGATGTGTTGGTTGACTCGGTCGCTAGAAACCTCTCGTGTTCAAAGTTAAACTCGGCTTGAATTCTGTCGGTCTGGCAACGTCGCATCCGACACAAACGCGTATAAATAGGTGGTTGGTTTTAACTGCCAAGATAATCTTTGGCGTGACAAGCAACTTTTCATTCTTTCCATTATGCTACCAGTACAAGTTGTAATGACGTTCGAGATTCGTCGTCGTCCAACCGACTTCAATAATTATTTAGATATGCGGCGCCTGACTTTCATTCTCTTCAACCTACGCTTCATTTTTAGAAACCTGAAAGTGACTTAATCAAACACATATAGGTAGTCTAGTGTTTTGAACTACCTAATCTATCTTAGACAGTACTGGTGTCAATATTGCCCATCGTGTATTCAACATACATTCACTTAGTATATTCGTGCATATACCCATATAATTACAATAGGAATAGCTGTACACTCAGCTACAGGTAAATCTGTACAAATTGTCACGTCTAATCGTTGCTTAAATGACGTAAAGTACAATATTGTCAACAAAGAATCTTGACGATGTGTACGCTACCAGGCTGCCACATGCTGCCCTACCGTACCTAATCTCATAGATATCTTGTAGTTATTTAAGTACATATATCTTTATGTACCTGTTCGATACCGAAAAAACTTCGCCCGTAAATTTTGTATGTCTAGGGCTTAGAATAATAACGCATAGAAACCTAGTCCGCACACGCTAAGTGAGGCAAATTGAAGCGCGCCCAAAGGGCCTACACGAGCGGGCGGGCCTTCAGTGCTCAAGGTCAACTTGCACCGTGAACATATCAAGAATTTTAGCTAAAAATGACGAAACATAAAATAGATACTAACATCACATTCCACAAGGAAGTAACGCGTTTCAACTTGTATTTTTATATAAATATTCACTAAAACCGAAAATTAACCTACTACTAAAACTAGCCTACATGAATTTGATTTTTGCCTCACTTGTGACAGTTCGTTTGATATGAAACTATCATTCTATGCGTTATTATTCTAAGGTGTAGGTGTGTTACGTCGTTCTTTAGTTTCTTTCAAACATTTTTATACGCGCTAGGCAACTAAAAGGAAACTTTTTGAGATGTGCCTTTCACGCAACCTGCGGTTGGCAGAGAGAACACGGATCGATCGAGCGACGTTGCCGCTCCGTGCACTGAGCATGGCGGGCGCGGGCAGCCACTTGTGCTAGCGCCGCGCGGTTTTTATGCGTGCCTGTGTGCCGCTTGTTTGCAGCTGTGTGCTGCACGCACGAGATTATTTTTATTGTTTGTTGCTATTTCCCAATCAATGTATGCATGAAATAATGACACCTGACCTGACGTTACCACTTCGCAGCAGCGCATTTATTAGTTCCT